GTTTATGACACAATGCTTTTAGGGTTTAGGGTTGATGATACACTGCTTTTAGGGTTTAGGGTTTTGGAGGTAGATTATGGCTTATGGTATAGTAGAAGGAGTTAGGATGAAGGGTTTGGGGGTTAAGGACCCTAAACTATACGAAGTATGGTGTCTTCCTCATTATGGGTACTGTAGGACGTATATCATCAACCGTAGTTGCAGGTTGTAGAATGAGCATTTGTTGGGAATTGTAACATCAACAATGCTCTTTCTATTGCCAGACAGTTCAAGGATTCCTAATTTCTGTAACAAGATAAACGACTGATGACGACTGTACTACGAGTCTGATTCTGCGTATGTACGTGTGTGGGCGTATATGTATGTGTTTCTTCGTATATGTGAACGTTGTGCTATCTGAGCCAGAAACCGCCTCGTAGCGCTGGATGATGATCTGAGCAACAGCCTCGAAACGCACAACAAAATGCACAGATGGGCCTGAAAAGACGCGGAAACGGACAACAGCAGTGCGCAAAAAGCGCCTCCACCGGCCGAATGTCCTTCAAATTGGGATCTGCATCAATAAGTTGTCTCAGATCGTTGAAGATGACATCCATGCCGTCAGAGACGATAAAGAGGCGCTGCCGACCACCAGCGGACGACGCAAGGTACTCTTCCAGAAATTCTTGATAAAAACGGAGACGCATGTGCATGCCGTCCCACTCGTGATTCTCACAAACGTTGTGAACAGGCAAAGGCGTGGATGCACGGAAGATGTGAAAAACGGGGAAGTCCATCACCTTCACAAATCGCCCACCACTCACGCACGTCAGCACCTGGGGGTTTCCGAAAATAGGGGACCCTTATATAGTATCTTAAATAGTAGGATCCTTATTATAAGGACCCCTAAATAAGGTACCCCTTATTTCCGGAAACTCCCACCTCCACGCCGGACCACTTGGGATGCCCGGTGTCAAAGTGCAATGCTGGGTCCGCTTCCCCGGACTCCAGGGCCGCCACAGGAGACTTCCAAGGCTGAAACGGCCTGATGTGAGGACTCCAGCATTACATCTTTAGGGCCTTAGGCTTTTGATGTGTAGGGTTTTGGGTTTGAGGGTAAAAAGACGGCGGCTTGGAGCCAAACAACCCTGATTCAACGAAGCTCTTGGCTCGGCTCATCTAGTTTGAGACGGCCTAAATAAGTACCTATACTAGTTTGGGGGTTCCCAACCCTATTCTAATTACGCAAGGCCCCTACACCCTAAGCCCTTATAGTAGCCCTTATAGCACCCTTTAAGGAACCCCAAAACCCTATGCTAACTACTAAGAGGCCCAGCCTTTGGGCCACCTGCTGCATGGGAGCCAGGCGGAGCGCGGCCACGCGGAGCGCCGCCTCCGACTGAGCGCCGATCTGCTGTACCAGCTCCTGCGCCTCTCGGGGGACCCAAAAAGGCACGGTTTGGGGTTTAGGGTTTAGGGTTTAGGGGTTTAGGGGTTTAGTGGTTTAGGGGTTTAGGGGCTTAGAGGTTTAGGTGTGTAGGGGTTTAGGGGTTTAGGAGTTTAGGGGTTTAGGGGTTTAGGGGTTTAGGGGGGTTTAGGGGTTTAGGGTTTAGGGTATCGGGGTTTAGGGTGTAGGGTTTAGGGGTTTAGAGCTTAGGGGCTTCGACCCTGGGGCATTTGTGGGCCTGAAACTAGGCCTTGTGCCCGTCAGCTCTTGAATCACCCAACGTACACTGATAAAGACACCTCCCTTGAATTCGACGCTGCTTCTAGCCTTCTAGGCAAGATGTAGACTTAACAGTACCCTAAAAGGGATCCTAATTGGGGTTGTGATACTTATAAGTCTGTAAAGTACCAGACAGAGCGCTGCTGGCACCTGGGCCCTGAGCTGCTGGTAGGAGCTCTGCAAGGCCTCACGAGAATCCGCATCACCGCATGATCACAAAGCAACACCGTTTAGGATTTAGGGTTTAGGGTTTAGGGGTTTAAGGTTTTAGGGCTTTAGGGTTTAGACTGTGCGAAGTAGTACCTGCCACTACCACTACTACTTCTACTACAAATACGAGGGCGACAACGAAAACGGCCTGTGTAAGTATACCGTAATTCGGTATAGCCACTGCAAGCACAACGGAGCAAAGCTGATGCAAGGAGTCTGGCAAGAATATAACCCTGGCGGCCCCGCAAACTCAAAGGGCCTAAACCGAAACCCTTTGAACCGAAACCCGAACCCATACCCTGAGCCCTAAACCCTAAACCCTAAACCCTAAGCCAGAACCTTGAACCTTAACATCCCAGAGCCTCGACGTCGCGCCAGGAGCGCTCCAGCTCAGCCTCACCTCGAACTTTTGGCAGCCCGGAGTATGAGGTATATGGGGGCAATAATTCTCAATCCTATTTTGCGGTTCCTCCTTAGAACTATTTGTGGAGCTAAATAAAGAAGAAGTTTGAGGTTCGGGTTTGCGGCTCAGCGTTTGGAGGCATAGAGTTTCAGGGTTTGTGGTTTTTTGGGCGCTTCACGACGCGCGGTGCAAGGGCCCATTATACTATAACTATAATAAGGAACCCCCCAAATAGTATAGGTAATTATTTAGAATAGAAGCAAAAAAGCAACTTTCCAAGTCTCCGAGCGTCGTTGGGAAATGTCGGCTTCCCTCTTTGCCAGCGCCTCCTCTTTGGCCTGGCTTTCTGGCTTCGCTTTGCTGCAGCTTCCGGGGCTTCAGTGGTTTAGTCTTCGGGGCCAAGGTGTACGGCTTAGGGTTGAGGGTTTAGGGTTTTGGGGTTCAGGGTTACGGGTTTAGGGATTAGGGGTTCCGGGACCATAGCTTCCATGATCCCTGCAATCTGGGACAAACCACTCCATATATATATATATATACAAATACATACACATACATAC